GTTCTTTTTGGCAACCTGGGGCGTTGATTTGTCGGATTTTTTTAAAGGGCAATGATGTTAGCTACTAATCATCCCCTTGGATGGCCGCGCTAGCAACTAGAGAGAGGATTTTTGATCTTCTTATATGGTACTTTGTCCGTCTAATTGCTTGATTGGCAGTCTAGTCCTATTTTAGAGTTTTTTGCTCCTTTTTTTGGTCGCTTCTCTTGATTTTTTGTCTATTTTATTTTGTTCATTTTGGGAGGTATAAGTTTTTAGTTGGACCTCTCGCATCTTTGAGGACTGATCTTTTTTATATATCTTACATGTAACGTTCATTTTATAAAAATATATGTGTTTTGGCCCTCAATTTTCCCCAAAAAAAAAAAAATAAAATGTCTGTCAGAAATCGAGTATTTTACCATTTCAAGTAATAATTTCTCCAAAAGTCAAGATAGAGTTCTCCGCCTAAATACGCGAACTGAAAATATAAGCATTTTTTATAAAAAGTTAATTTAAAAAATAATAAAAGGCAATTTCAAATAAAATCAATAAGTGATAAGCTTTGTGCTAAATTTCTCTAATTTGGTGAAGCAACTGCGAGGAAAATGTATTTAATTTCTTGGAGTAATACCTGCAAGCCCAAAAAAGTGGGAGGTCTTGGGTTACCATCCTTGCAATCTGTGCAATTCGGCTTTAACTGCTCTTTAATTGAGAGAATTTACAATTCTCCTAGCCCCTTGCTAAGTGGCTGTTTTTCATGTATGTTTCTCCATGGAAGGAACCGGTTACCAGTGCATCCAAATTTTGGAAATGTGTCAGTAGGGATTCCAAGCTAAGCAAAGAAATTTTTCATTTTAAGGTCTCTCCTAACTCACATTTATCTCTATATTGGGATCACTGGTTCAATGATAAACTGGTAAAGAAAGTTCTGGAACTGCATCCCATTCTCAGCCTCTTCCCTGCTAATGCTAAAGTATCTGCAATCCTTAATGGGAACAGGTGGAGTTTACTTGCTTCGGTTCCTGATTATGTTACCCATACCATGACTGTTAATTCAGAATCTAGAGTATCCCTTGTTTGGGGTAGGGGTAACAACACTAAGCATAGGGCTTATCTGGAGTTTTATTTTAAGGATTATGATAAGGTCAATTGGAAGCATTTTATTTGGCATAAACGGTATGCTCTTAGATTCTCTTCTTTTCTGTTGGATGGTTTTAAATGGCGGTATTAAGACTGCTGATGTCCTTATTGCTAAAGGTATCATAATTGATGCAATTTTGTCCTTTATGTCATAGCAAAAATGAATCTGTGAACCATTTATTTTTCTAATATAATAAGGCTACAAAAAATTCAGAATCAATTGAAATTCTCAAACAACAGTTCCTGCTGGTTAAGTGTGCTCCATCAGCAATTGAAATTCCCCAAAAAAAGATAAAGAAATTGAATCAGAACATTCTAATTATAATCTAAACAAAATAAATTTGAAAAATCTTCAAATTTATTTTCACTGCAATACCTAAATAAGCAATCAATTCTCAAAACAATTTTTTAAATTTTAGAATTAAAACATCCAATCAAATATAGAATTTGGTCATGCTGAAGTAATTCTATTACACAAATCATCAAACAAATATTAATAAATAATAATTAAGATAGAAAAATAAAAATAGTTTTGAAAACTCAACCCAGAAATTAACTTCTTTTTTTTTTAAGTAAAAAAAAAAAAAA